GTCCGATGAACAGTTGTGAAAGGTGATGACTACTCTGTGACTTAAAGGAGTGTGCTAGGTCTCTCTGGAGTCTCCGTAGGACAGGTGCTCACATGTGGTAGCAGAAACAGACATGGCTCCTGATGACTGAGTCCTCCACTCTTTGTGATGATCAGGATCTGAAAGAGGTCTTGGCACACAAGCCTGGATGTCTTACCACCTGCTTTTATATTCCATGGGACAAAGTCATTCACTTCACCTCCTTGCTGTTTCAGGAACTCACACTGTGAATCAATCACTGGGAGGAGTTAAGGAGAACTCAGTTGCATGGCTAGGCCTCTACTGTGAGGTCCCTGGAGATGAGATAAAGACAGAAGACCCTGGTCTAAGAAGGAGCTGTGCCTATCTCCCATGGCTTGTTCTTCTCCATCTTCATTTTTCTATGACACACTACAGGTAGGGTCAGGCCTAAGGGTACTGGGGAGGACCCTGTTCTCAGGCCCTTCTGGTCCAGATTCCCCAAGAAGTTGTATCTCAACTCTGCTGTTCAGGCAAAGGGATGTCCTTCTGTATCCAGGGAATATATGTTGCCTTTATTGGTGGAGAAATTAAATTGATTTGACCAATGGCCAGGCAGAATTTAACCAGGTAGGAAATCCAAACAGAGTAGAAGACAGAAGAAAGGTAAAGTCACAGAGATGGCATGTAGCCACCAGAGATAAGATGTGAGGTAACAAGGCACAAGCATCATGGTAAAATATAGAACATTAGAAAGATATAAATTTAGAGGTAGAATTAGCCAGTAAGAAGCCTGAGCCATTGACCAAACAATAATAATTCATATTTGGCCTTTGTGAGAACTGGGAGGAGGGACAGAAATCTTCCAAATACAGTTCACTGAGATTTCTGCTTTGGCATGTTCCTTTTCTCAGGCTGTATTGACAGAAACATCCTCTTTCTCCATGTCTCTTGTAGCAACAGCCAGAATCCCCTGCATCCTGTGGAGTGGCTTCAGTGTTGGTGATAATAACATTAAGTGGTACCAGCAGATGATGCAGGGGAGTCCTCCTCGGTTTGTCCTGCATTACTACTCAGCCTCAGACAGGCATCTGGGGCGTCGCGTTTCCATTACATTCTCGGAATCCTCAGAGCCCTCAAAACTGCTAAAAACTTACACACTTCTGAGCTACAGGTGGAGGGTGAGGCTGTTATCTGGGAAAACAGTGTTTCTCACACTGAAATAGGCAGATGGGGGAAGTAGGCATAAATTGTAGCTTCTGCTAAAAAAATCATTCCTGGTAGAATGCTTATAGGAGCCAAAGGAAGGAGAGAAGGAGGTTGCCAACATCACTGTCACAGCATCAGTTTTCAAGAGAGGAGAGACCCAAAATGTTGGTGCTGGCAATGACAGAGCAGTAGGTCTCCCACAAAGGTGCCTCCACCAGATCAGGGCAAGCTGTGTGTGAGCATCCAGTAGGGTGACTACTCTGAGGCACACCAGACTTACCTGATAGTCTTCAGATACATATACATAAATAGGCACAGAGATGGCCCTGAGTTCACATACTCAGTACCAGTGCCCTTCTTAATTCATGGCCAGAATAAGAGTGCAGCTGACCTATCAGTTCCGGTCCTGAGTCTCTGTAGAAGGCCAAGGTGGTTGTAGCTGAGGAGCTGTCCAAAAATCTGGCCATAGTGTTCAGTTTCATGGACCAAACTCTCCCAAGTAGCCTTTTGTCCACAGCCCTGTAGATGCCTAGTAGAGGACCTGAGCACCTGGGCCTTCCGCACCTCCACCAGCTTCTGGCCCTCACCCCATGCAAAGTGCAAAAATATTGTTAGCCTCAGTATTACTTCTGCTCTCCACTGTTTTCAAGGGCTGCACAATATGCTGGACAAATTTTCCACCATCGAGGCTTCTGACCTGAGGTGAAATGTTTGTAGCCCAGACTGAACTACAGTTTCTCTGTTTGAAAAGCAAAAACAGTACACTGGTTGTCTTTACAATGTATCCAAAGAAGCATCCATCCATCCAGGATGGGCCACCTTTGGCTCAATCCCCACTCAGTTTCATCTGGTTTCTGCTGCTAGATGTGGACTGTGACAAGGTGGCTGTGTTCAGTACCAGCATTCACTGCAGAGGGACTCCATTTACAGAGTACCTCAACAGGATTGGAAGCTCTTTTTGGAGCTACCAAAGCAGACACCTCCAATGGAGGATGGTTTGGGAACCTGCTGATCAGCCTCATGGTCTCCTCAGCGTAGGAGGAGGGTGCCAACAGTCAACATGACAGTATCCAAATTGAGGTGGACTTAAAAGCTGACTGGCCATGTTGGAGATGCTCATGGCCAGCACCAATGGGACTGGTTTATTGCCACACTGAACATGATGCCCCTTACCCACTCGGCTCCTGCTCATTGCATGGCTTGAGGGGCCACCTGTACAGCTGTACAGAGTCTGTCCCTATTCATGTATGCAGGTTGAGTATTTTGTGTTCATGACCATGTATGTGCAAGGCACAATCCCTGTTGGTCAACTATGCTCCTTCAGACATCCCACAATAAAGTGTGGCCCTCCTGTAGCACCCTGCTTTCTTCATTGTCTCTGGTTCATTTTAAAGGCAATAGTGGGACAGGCAGCCTAGCATCAGTGATCAGTATCCCTTCCCCTGTATCAGTGCATTTATGGCATGCCAGAGGAGAGGTGGCTACCTTTATGTGTCAGCAAGAATCCCAAGTACTGCCAATGAGAGCTCTTTCTGCTTTATTTGATTTCTGTTTGGACAGAGTCATTTGACAATCATGGTAAGATTCTCAGGTGCCGTCCATGGGTGCTGTGGTGGACAAGTTCCTTGGAAGTCACAATCAGCCCTTGAAAGTGCATTCTTACTGGTACATATGAGCCTCACGATGCTGCTCTGCAGATGTTGTAAAGAATGCTGTGGGTTTCCAAGTCCTTTACATAGCAGTATTTACCTTTACCGGGGAAGGGATTTCTCAACTTGATGTTTAGGATTTCCCTAAAATATGAGTCCAGCAATGAGCAACAGCCTTAATTACCACAGATAACATATATGCTACCAGTATGACTGTAACAGAGATGCATTAATTTTCACAATTGAAATAAAAAAGAGTTGAGGGGAGAACCACTGGAGACTTGAGGACTGTGCACAGTGAATCCCAGCCCGATGGGATTCCACCTGCCCAAAGACTGCCAACTTCTAAGTCCCATTCTCCACCCACAGGACAGGTGAGGGTCCAGCTTACCCAGAGATTGCCAAGGCCCTGATATTAGGCCGGCCTCCATCCACACAAGAGGAAAGCCACCAGGGTACTGGACCTGCTCCGACCCACTGGAAAGGAACCATGGTCCTTCTGCACCCACAGGAAGAAATGATGGGAAGGAGACAATATAAAAACACACCCACCAACAGAAAAACTAATATGACACTGCCAGAGACTCTATACCTGCAAGACCAGAACAGCCCATTGCAGATGAAGCAAATGAGAAAGACCTTAAAAACAACTTCATGAAAATGATAGAGGCCCTCAAAGAGGATATGAGAAAATCCCTTAAAAAACAAACTAAAAATGCAAAATGGCAAGAAATGGAAGAAAAAAACAAATGAAAAAATACAAGAAATGGAAGAAAACCAAATCAAAAAGTCAAACAAATGCAAGAAAGAGAGGAAAAGACAAAGCAAAAATTACAAGAAACAATTCAAACAGTGCAAGAGAAAGCTGAAATAGAAACAATAAAAAACAGTCTGAAGGAATGCTGGAAATAGAAAAGCTGGGAAAACAGTCAGGTACTACAAATACAAGCATAACGAACAGAATACAAGAGATGGAAGACAGAATCTCAGGTGTTGAAGATACACTAGGGGATATAGATTCATCGACCACAGAAAATCTTAAGTGCAACAAATCGCTAACACAAAATATTCAGGAAATATGGGGCACAGTGAAAAGACCAAACCTAAGAATAATAGGTATAGAAGAAGGTGAAGAAATCCACCTCAAAGGGGCAGAAATCATAGAAGAAAACTTTCCCAACCTAAAGAAAGACATGCCAATGAAAGTACAAGAAGCTTACAGAACACCAAATAGAATGGACCACAAAAGGAAATCCCCTCGCCACATAATAGTAAAAACCACAAACATACAGGATAAAGAATATTAAGAGCAGCAAAGGAAGACGCTAAGAAACTTATAAAGGCAAACCTATCAGAATCACACCTGGTTTCTCCATGGAAGTTCTGAAAGCCAGAAGGTCCTCCATAGATTTTCTAGCAACACTAAGAGACCACAGATGCCAGGCCAGAGTACTAAATCCCAGAATAATTATTCACAGACCTTGAAAGAACAATTCTCAACTTTATATTGAAAAACAAGAGACCCAGGATAGCCAAAACAATCCTGTTCAACAAGACAACATCCGGGGGCATCACCATCTCTGACTTCAAGCTGTATTACAGAGCTATAGTCCTGAAAACAGGTTGGTATTGGCACAAAAATAGACACACAGACCAATGGAATCGAATTGAACACCCTGACATTAACCCATACATGTATGAACACCTGATCTTTGAAAAAGAAGCTAAATTTATACAATGGAAAAAAGAGCATCTTCGACAAATGGTGCTGGCATGTAGAAGGATGCAGATAGATCCATGTCTATCACCATGCACAAAACTTAAATCCAAATGGATCAAAGACCTCAACATAAATCCAGCCACACTGAACCTCTTAAATGAGACAGTGAGAAGTACCCATGAACAAATTGGTACAGGAGACTGCTTCCTGAACATACCTCCAGTAGCACAGACACTAAGATTGATAATTAATAACTGGGACCTCCTGAAACTGAGAGGCTTTTGAAAGGCAAAGGACACAGCAAGACAAAAAGGCAACCCACAGATTGGAAAAAGATTTACTAACCCCACATCTGACAGAGGGCTGATCTCCAAAACTTACAACAAACTCAAAAAGCAAGTCTCCAAAACACCAAAAGATCCAATCAAAAAGTAGGGTACAGAACTAAATAGAGAATTCTCAATAGAGGAGTCTAAAATGGCTGAGAGACACTTAAGAAAGTGCTCAACATCCCTATCCATCAGTGAAATGCAAATCAAAACAACTCTGAGATACTATCTCACTCCTGTCAGAATGGCTGAAATCAAAAGCTCCAATGACAGTTTATGCTGGAGAGGATGTGGAGAAGGGAACACTGCTTCACTGCTGGTGGGAGTGCCAACTTGTACAGCCACTTTGGAAATCAGTATGGAGATTACTCACAAAAATGGGAACCAGTCTACCACGAGTCCCAGAAATTCCACTTCTAGGCATATACCCAAAAGATGCACATTCCTTCAACAAGGACATCTGTTCCACTATGTTTATAGCAGCATTGTTTGTAATAGCCAGAAACTGGAAGCAACCTAGATGCCTCCCAACTGAAGAGGGGATAGAGAAAATGTGGTACATTTACACAATGGAGTACTATTCAGTGGAAAAAAATAAATTGAATCTTGAAATTTGCAGGCAAATGAATGGAACAAGAAGAAACCATCCTGAGTGAGGTAACCCAGTCACAAAAAGAGAAACATGGTTATGTACTCACTCATTTATGGATTTTAGACATGAATCAGGGGAGTTAACCTTGTATCCTGCCACTTTGCTGAAGGTGTTTATCAGCTGTAGGAGTTCCCTTGCGAAGTTTTTCTGGTCACTTATGTAAACTATCATATCATCTGCAAATAGCGAAAGCTTGACTTCTTTTCCTATTTGTATCCCCTTGATTTCCTTTTGTTGTCTTATTGCTCTAGCTAGAACTTCAAGTACAATATTGAAGAGATACGGAGACAGTGGACAGCCTTGTCTTGTTCCTGATTTTAGAGGAATTGTGTTAAGTTTCTCTCCATTTAGTTTGATGTTAGCTGTTGGTTTACTGTATATTGCTTTTATTATGTTCAGGTATGTTCCTGTTATCCCTGATATCTCTAGGACCTTTATCATGAAGGGGTGCTGGATTTTATCAAAGGCTTTTTCAGCATCTAGTGAGATGATCATGTGGTTTTTCTTTTTGCAGTTTGTATACATGGTGGATTACATTGATAGATTTTCTAATGTTGAACCATCCCTGCATTCCTGGGATGAAGCCTACTTGATCATGGTGGATGATTTTTCTGATTTGTTCTTGAATCCGGTTTGCTAGTATTTTATTGAGAATTTTTGCATTGATGTTCATGAGGGATATTGGTCTGAAGTTCTCTTTCTTAGTTGTGTCTTTGTGTGGCTTGGGTACCAAGGTAATTGTAGCCTCGTTAAAAGAGTTTGGCAGTGAGCCTCCTGCTTTTATTGTGTGGAACACTTTGAGGATTATTGGAATTAGCTCTTCTTTGAATTTCTGGTAGAATTCTGCACTGAAGCCATCTGGGCCTGAGCTTTTTTTGTTTGGGAGACTTTTGATGACTGCTTCTATTTCATTAAGGGCTATAGGTCTGTTTAGATTGTTTATCTGTTCTTGATTTAGTTTTGACAAGCGATATCTCTCCAAGAAATTGTTCATTTCATTAAATTTTCAAATTTTGTGGAGTACAGGTTTTCAAAGCATGACCTGATGATTCTCTGGATTTCCTCAGTGTCTGCTGTTATGTCCCCCTTTTCATTTCTGATTTTGTTAATTAGCATGTTCTCTCTCTGTCTTTTGGTTAGTTTGGATTGATTTCAGCCCTCAATCTGATTATTTTCTGGTGTGTATTCCTCCTGGGTGAGTTTGCTTCTTTTTGTTCTAGAGCATTCAGTTGTGATATTAATTCTCTAGTGTGACTGTTCTCCAGTTTCTTCATGTGGGCACTTAGTGCTATGAACTTTCCTCTCAGCACTGCTTTCAGAGTGTCCCATAAGTTTGCGTATGTTGTGTCTTCATTCTCATTGAATTCCAGGAAGTCTTTAATTTTAATGCATGGTGGTCTGATAAGATATAGGTGGTTATTTCAATTTTTTGTATCTGTGGAGGTTGCTATGTTTCCTATTATGTGGTTGATTTTAGAGAAGTTTCCATGTGGCGCCAAGAAGAAGATATATCCCTTTGTGTTAGGGTGGAATGTTCTATAGATGTCTGTTAAACCCAGTTGGGTCATAACTTCTATTAGTTCTTTTGTTTCTTTGTTAAGTTT